TAATTGAAAATAGTTTATACGTGTTTTGTGTAAATACACAAACAATTTTATAAAAACAATAAACCAAATGCTTAAACATAAATTACAAGCAATTTTATGTAAATTTTTAATTACTTAATTATTTGTAGTAATAATGTAATTATTATAAAAAATTCATAAAATAAATATTTTTATGACGGAACTGGGCCACACTGCGTATGAGTAATATTTTTTTAATGGTCAGTTTGTAATGTAAATCCCTGAAGGCCAGCATAAAAACGAATTAAATTATTGAGAAATGTAAACAATTAATTTGAATAAAAGAAATTAATAACATCAATTTTATTTGTTAAATACCAATGAATTTACTAAAAATATTTTTTTTTTGCATTCGTGTAATTTAAATTTTTGAACTTACATATCTACACTAAGAAGCGTCCTCTTATAAAGTTATTTATAAATTAATAGGAAGTAATAATAATCTGTTTAATTTACAGATTAGTTTATTAAAAAGCCACTGTACCGGAAGACTATTTATAATAGTTAATTAGTAATAAAATCACTACAAATTAAAGCAGATTACAGATAATAATAGCATGAGGTTATGTTCTTTAAGCTATGTATAGTAGCACAATTATTGTTTGGGTTAATGCTAGACCTTTGTTTAGATTTGGCTAAATTTAATATCTTTTGCGCTAGAATATCTGTCTTGAATAAAGCAGCTTGGTGTACAATTATAATAAAAAATAATAATTATTATTAAAAACATCTAATGCACATTTTTTAACACCATAAATAATAGCTAATCATCAGATACGCACTAGTGTCTTACTTCAAACAAAATAAAATTTTGACAGTATAGGACAATATTCTGTTATTATTACTCAAATATAATCCATATAATCCACGTTTAAGCAGAACAATACATTTGCATAAGGAAAATATATCATACAGAAACATCCACAGTGCATTCAAACTGTTATTTGATTTTATAAATTTAATTTATAATTAATTTAATTTATTTATAAATTTAAGAAATTTATCTATATTCTCAAATCTGATTTAAAGACAATACAATTATTTGAAAATTAAGTAAAATTAAGTCTATTAAAAGAAATAGAAAAATTTATAAATAAGTCATGAAAACATATTACAATGGAAAACTATTAAAGGACAGATTATAGATAATGCATCAATGATACGTAACTATAGAAAACTTATAAATAGGGCATGAAAATATAGAACAATAGAAAGCCATTAAAAGCCAGATTGATGGAAATTCATAAGAATATTAAGTAAATAATAAAATAAAATCTAATTAACCTCACATTTTCTTTGACCAGCAATGATAATTAATGTAATGTAAAGAATATTTAACAAAACTTTTAAACTACTAACTAAGACACAAATAGTCTATGGTAAGAACAATAAAATTAGTTTTTGAAAAGGCACTTTAATCCCCATCCAATTAAGATATATTTAAGATATATTAGTCCTACCTATTTAACATTATTGCTCTTTGATTGAACAAATACCTTTAAATAAATGTTAAGCATAGTTAATCTGAGGGAAATCCTTATATTTCGTTAAAATTAAATTTTTCTCAAATATTCAATGAAAACTATCTCACATAAAGTGCATAAATTATTTTTAACATTAATATCTATAATTGCGTAAATAAATTATAACGAAAACTGCTACAATGCTCACATGAATCGTTTCTGCAATTACGTTAATTTGAATAAATTATTATAAGTAATTAAATTTTCAATTGAAAACTCAATTAAATTTAAGTTTAATAAAAATTAACGAATGAATTCATGAATAAAAATAAACATTTGTGTATATATAGAAATATTGTGTGTATCGCAAGTTATAATAACAATGATAATTAAAGATAGTTAAGGTTAAAAGATTTAAATTACAAAATTTTTAAATGAGTTGAAGTTGTTAAAGCTTATCATTATACAAAAAAAAAATTATTTCGTTATAATTTTTAAATAAATTATTGAACTGGATTAAAGTAAAATAATTCAACTTGAAAAATAAATGTTGTAGGTAGTATTTCTGAATTAAATTAATTATATACTGACATGAAATGTTGAAATCGTATAGATTTAAAGCTTATAGAATTACGTTAAAGTTAATAGAATTCGAAAATTGCAACAAATATTTAAACGAAATAATAATAATCATTGACGGAAATTTTTAATACACTTTTATATTAGAAATATCTCATCGAGGTACAATCGAACCTTCATTAGAAAAACTAACCGCTTTCCGATCAATTAGAGTTACTTGCAAACTTACTACGGTTGCACTGCTTTGCTCTAAATTCCCTTTTTCCTATTTAACAATATATCTATTAATATATCTACAAATATAACACTGCTATGAACCTGAAATGGAGCTGATTTTCTTAACATTTGTAGCGGCATGATAAAATCAAAAGTGCTTAAAGCCATATATAAAATCAGCACATAAAATCAGTAATTGCAAATATAAATATCTAATTCCAGTCATAAGTATTTCTATATGCTGGACAATTCCTATATTGTAATTTATATGTAAGGTGTATAGCTTAAAAGGTGTAAATACCTTGTTCAGATAAATTATTGAAAGAGCATGTCATTTAAAATATTATTTATCGGTAATTATGTTATTTGCCCATCTTTATGCCAGCAAAATATGAGGTGCTAATCGAAAGGGCAAAGTCTGGCCTACATGACTGGTAAGGTCATGTAGCTTTTTGTACACTATTATTGTGGAACAGTTTTTAACCGGTACAATAACATTCGATGAGGTGTGTTAACATGATAGAAAATAACGGATGTATGTTTGGTTGCATATTTCGTTCCACTTGTGGACATAGTTTTTTGCAAACGAATCAATTTTTATCTCCACGGCCATATTTTACTAGCCCATAATGAATGAGACCATTTTAATTTATTCAAAAATATAATAATTATTTTGGTTTGGCTGGGGATTATGGTGATAGATCCACTTTTCTTTATTAAATCAATTTTTTATTTCTTTAACTAATTGATGTAATAAATACTTTTTTGTAGCATTCAAACAGCATTTCAGATGCACAATATGAGGTCTTTTGAGTTCAACTTATTTGGTATCCTAATACCTTCATTTTGAATGAGTATCAATTATTTCACACACTTGTAACTTCTTACGTGGTTCCATAAATTTTTCTAATATTTGACACGAATATTACTCGATTACGCAAAACTGTGTGTGGTTTATATAGTAAATTACTAGTAGTGAAATGTATTTTGTCACACTAACTCTAAAATAAAATTGCTATGTGACTATTTTCTACTACAAGTAAATAATAAATTTTTTCAGCAGCCATATCAAAAGATACACTACCCTATTACTTCAAATGTAGAATCTCCGACTTAATACAAAGAAGTAAATCCAAAGTTTCTAAAATAATATCTCTTCTCACAGAATACTGGAGTAAAGGACAGCATTTAGCCAGTCTCAGACTGCCCGAAGCACCTGTTGTGTCTATGTCAAGAGTTGTGCAGAATCAGGTTTAAGCTTCAATGCACTTGACGATATTTCCAACATAAGTATTCTAAACTCTAAGACACTCTTTAAGGCTAGTTCTAGTTCTTTTATCCTTCTGCCAACAATTACGAGGATTGAGGAATCAAAAAAGCTTTTTTAACTATTTAAGGAGGATATGATTCTTCTTCCACTTAACGTACCTACCTACCTTCCCACTCTAAAATGCTCCATGCATAAAAAAACATTCATTTAACAATTTTTTTATTTTGAAATATAAGTAAATTTTTATAAGAGAATATTTACAGCTCTTCCCTTACAATCCCTTAAGTGAAAGATTAGTTTAAAACATTAAAAAATATTTTCTTTGCTAAAGTGAAGCCTTGTTATCAACATTTATACATCAAAAGCAAACCTTTTCTCCAGAAAAAAATTACAAAAGGAAACTATTTGTAATAAAATTATATACAATATAAGAATGCTTCTCTTCTTCTGAAGTAGCACAAAATATTAAAAATGTTGAATTTTTAAAAACAAAATTTAACTTGTAAGTTAATACAAATTTTTATACAGAATTTCCTCATTATTTTCACTCTAAAAACAAACTTTTTATATATTCACAACACCAAAGAGTACGTCAAGGCCTAAAGGCAACCACCAGCAAAAGCAACATCAACACCAACGAAAATTAATTTCTTCATTTAACAACACAAACAAAACCAAGTACACGCACACACACACACACACAGACACACATTTTCACTTACTTACTCACACTTTAAAAAAATTTATTAAACAATTTGTATATATTTTTTTAATATAAATGATGTCAAATATACGCCGTTGTCCTTCCTTTTTAATTATAAATATTTATTGTTTAATGGTTGCTATGTGCAAACACCGCGACTTTCTTGTAGATTTAGGCATTAAGCAAACACTGTTGGTTGTTGTTGCTATTTTCCTGCTTCCTGCTGCCATTGCTTTTTATACCTGTTTACATTTGTTCGTTAATAAAAAATTTACCTCACGGTATACCCAACGGAATACAGCCTCACATATTTATACAAAAAACAAAAAAAAAACACTCATACGCACTATAGTCCGCACTTAAGCGGCGTATTTATGTATCCTCTTTGTTAATGAAGCTTTTAATTATTTATATTAAATGTGCGCTGCCGTTTATTGCTACATTTTTCGACGTAGCTTTAAATGTTGTCATTTTTTATGTGAAAATAATTACAAAGCAATTAAAATACGCTAATTAAATTAAATGTTTTATTAATGTTTGTTGTTTATGCACAAAAGTAATTTATTCAAGTGAATATTAATTTTGAATTGTCTTAATTAAAATCTGATAATTTTTGTATATAATATTTTTGTTTTAATTTAACAAATAAAATTATTAATAATATATTTTTAGGAATGCCAAATTTTGGGTTTTAGATAATAAATAATATTGTTTTTATAATTAATAAACCAAATTATTTAATTTATTTCAGCTGCTTCTGAATGCGGTAATGAACGTTTAAAGCCTTACAATGGTTCTTGTTACCTTTTTGTTTCATATCCAGAAGTCGACTGGTTCACTGCACAACAAGTTTGTCATGGTTTGGGTGCAAAATTGTCCTCAGTGTCAACTTCGGATGAACACAGGTATTAATGATTAAATGCTTGAAAATATGTATTTTAAAATATTTTAAATTAAATTAAACAAAATTAACGCAGTAATAAATTTTCAAAAGTCAGTAGTAGAAATAAATAAAACTCATTTAGTATAGAGTAAACACCTTTCACTGAAATTTAAAATTTTTATTAATGTTGTGCAGCCTTGGCTACTTTTGGATAAACACGATTAGTCATCGCTTCTAATTTGACAGATACGAGTTCTAAGCCTGGCACTTACAGTCCAAATTATATACGGACCATAAACTAATTAAGAAATTCGGTTATTTTCTAAGACCACTTATAATGAGTACTTGGCAATACGTTGTATGGTCAGCCAAATTTCAATAAAATCAAATAAACTTTTGTGTTTGTCCTTTCTTTCTTTTTCTTTATCATTATAAGAAAGCGTAGCTTTTTCGACAACACTAATGAAAACTTTAAAAATTTTATTTTATTATGTTGAAGCTATTTGAGCCAGTGCAATTGAGCAGTTGTACTGTTTATTAACTCGAGGTATCTTCAAAACTTCTATTTACGCCTTAACTGGATTAATGTTTATCACTTCATCAGACTAAGCAATAATTGACCTTAGATCTGCACACCTGTATAAAGTCTGTCAGGTTTCGCAGTTTATATTTATAAAGTTAAGTAAAGATGCAATGATTATGCTTAATACTTTTAAAAAAAATTTATTTTTCTTTTCTTACGCATAACAAAATGTTATACGTTCAGAAATTTAAGCTCCACTTTATACCGTATCGTCATATATATGAAATCATATTCAATAAATGTCCATTGTATATTCTTAATGAACCAATTCAATTAACTTCAAATGAAATAATTATTTAGCTCAATGCAACATTTCAATTTATTTACTAATCCAACTAAGTACACAAGCAAATATGTAAATAAATATCAAGGAAGCCAAAAGAAAAAATATAAATTTCAAAAACATGAAATTTATTTAGATTTACATATCATATATAATGAGTGCACCGAATGCACTCAAGCTAGAATGACCATCAATTGCTGCTATGACTTTAATGTATCTTTATATATCACAAATGTACAGTCGAATCTAACCTTTTGCAGATTTTTTTTTTTTTTTTGATTTTATGCATTCTTTACACAAAAAAAAAACCAACCTTCAATATAGTAAACTAAGTGCAATATAAATAACCTGAGCTCATTTATCCTTATTTACTGAGTTTCCTTCACGTCTTACCCTATTTTTATATACAATTTTACAGATTCATAACATCGAACATTCGTAACCACATCGATTACTCACCACAATTGATTTACTGGCTTGGTGCTGAACTAGAGAAGAATGGACAATTTGAATGGACAGATGACACAAAAATGAGTTTCCAGGTAATAGCACGGAACAGAACAGCTTTTCATGAAAAAGTTACAGTAGAAGCAAATTAAATCAACTCGTTCAATTGATTTTAATTCGCAAAAATTCTTAAGCACTAAACGAGTAAGACCACAAAATGGCTTAGAAATTTCTCTACTCTTTCATTATGCAATGGAATGCAGCTTCACTAATAACAAAACAAAAAAAGAAGAAAAAAAAAGAAAAAAAATCCTTACATGAAATACAGAATTTATATTAAATTATATATTTTTTGTTTGTATAGAATACTTTTTGCTTAATGCTTTATAATATTCTCTCTACATGTCTAATATTACATAGGGCTGGTTACCTGGACAGGGACAGTTTGATGTAATGCCAGCTGATGCAATGTGCTTAGGTCTACAATGGAAAATGTCACCAACACCAATGTTGCCTTCTGGTTTATATTGGCAATCACAAAAGTGCACCAAAGTCGGTGGATATGTGTGTAAGAAACCAAAAGAATCCTTTGGAAATTTTGCTGTTAACAATTTTACAGTAAATGGCACTGAAGGACGTCTCGTATCACCAGGTATGTGCAAGAATTTTTATAGCAAACACGAGATGAATATGTATTATATATGGATAAGTAATCATGTATATCTCTACCTTTGTATCATAAGTTTGTGTATGTTGAACACATGTATCAGTAGTTTAAAGTTCCATTGAAGAGATTTGAACTGAGGCTAGAATTGAATGTGACAGCTAAATTGAACTCCTGTGTAGCATTCACATTTATAATATACATTTTGTTAAAATTACTACTGGGCAAACTTCATTTTGATTTACTAAAGATACAAATAGTTACTTTTGTAAATGATTGATTTATATTCAGATGTCTGAGTTGGTGAATCAGCACCTTTACTCTATTTTATCTGTGGACGATTTTAAGTCACACTAAATACGGGGCTTTACGGGGCTTTATAATATGATGGATCTGATATCTTTGTATCTGCCTGTGTTTATCAAATTTCGCTGTATTTTTAGGATACTGAGAGTAAATGAAAGTTGTTTGAAGTGAATTTCGGATAAACATATGTGTCTGCTTTATGTATGAATATATGTATTAGTACGTTCAAAGAGCTTTATTACAGTTTCAAAAGAAAATGTTTGCTAATTACTAGTATTTAATAATGTTTCTAACATATCCTCTAACTTTAAAGCCTCTTTGAGTTTTACGTAGAGTTAACACCAAACCATAAAGACTTTCAATTAAAATATTTTTCCACTTTTCTAAACGACTAGTTTATTATGTTGAAGCTATTTGAGCCAGTGCACTTGAGCACTTTTACTCTTTCTTAACTCGAGGTATTTTCAAAACCCAACTTTACGCCTTGATTGGATTATTGTAGATCTGCATACCTCCTCAAGGAGCGTGTAACCATTCTGAGATTTGATAACTCGGTATTGGTAAGTCTGTCAGTTTTCGCAAAAAATTTCAGGGCTCTATCTTTTATGTAATTTGTCCATAGTATATTTAACGATATATATATTTAATTTATATTAAATAAATACTAATACTAGTTTTCAAATATCTCTCTTTTACAGCCTATCCTAATACTTATCCTCTTAATTTAGACTATTGGATACATATAAAATCAGCAGAACGCACACGCATTATTGTGCAATTTCAAAAAATAGATTTGGAACCACAAGATGAGTGTCTGTATGATTTTGTTAGTATAGAAAATTATGAGCTCGTTTCGAAAATAACACTTGAGCCTGGTACAAATCCCCTACCGATGGCAATGTTAATGTCAGCTGATGTTATGACACAATACGATGATGAGAACGTTAATGGTGATAATGATATGCAAAACAATTTGCACCGTAGACTAGGGCGACACATTAACAAAAAGAAACACATTTCCGTAAGCACTGCCATACAGCACAGGCGGAAGCGAAATACACGAAATGAGTACGACCACAATTTAATGGCAGAATCTGCAATGCAAATGCCAGACCAAAAAACGAATGGACAGCACAATATTGCCAAGAAGCATAGTTGCAAACATTGTAAAAATATCGTCAACAGGAAAAAACATAACAACAACAAAAATCACAAAAGACAAGAACCTACTAACGATACAAATAGTCAAACAAATGAAAATCCAAAACGTCGACGTCGGAAAAAATACTTACCGGAAATTGAAAATAAATTACCAAAGAATTTAAGCAACGATAGAAATGTTATAAATAAGGCAAATACTGCACAGGAAATGCATTTAAGCCAACATCAACATTATCGAAAACAACAACAACAACCACATAAAAGTAATTTCCAAAAAATATACACTAAACATCGCCAAAGACGTAGTATTATCGCTAACGATGGTATACTTAGTGTGCCGACTGCTAATAATGCACAATCCTTCCTGCCTTATGTGCGATGGTGTGGTTCTCATGACTCTAATATGTCAAAATTTGATTTTGTCTCGAGCTCAAATCAGGTTATGTTAAATTTTCATAGCGATTATTCGGTCACAGGACTTGGTTTTGCTGCCACTTGGAAAGCCATAGATGTGTCTGGTTGTCCTTTGCGTACATTAACCGCTCATGAAGGCACAATCGATAGTCCAAATTATCCACATTTTTTATTAAATAATCTTAATTGCGCTTATGTGATACAAGCACCGCTGGGGAAGCGTGTTTGGTTGGAATTTAAAGATTACGATTTATTATCCGATGCACTGTTAGAGGTGGACATTGGTAATGGTATTTTCAGACCATTTCGTCAGCGGGAACATCTTAACGAGGGTGTTTTTGTTAGTTTACGCGAACAGCTCCGTGTACAATTTAGAACAGGTACACATCCAAGAGGGAAGGGATTTCAAGCTGCTTATCGCATAGGTGAGTTAATAGAAATAACTATTAAACTATCTTAGCTAATTTAGTAATAAGCAAATAAATATGTGAAAATGGCAACTTGTTGTTTGTGTTTATAAACAAAAAATAAAAATTAATAAATAAAATTACAGTGAAAACTCTGCTTATGACTACTCCTGTTAAACAGAAACCACTGTTAAACGCTGACTTCTTTTGTTTCGAAGACAATTTTTTCTTTTCACCTTTTTTGACCGCAAGCTCAACTTTTATCCTTTTTCATTGTATTATAGTATATATGCAATATATTTCCACAATAATTTAATAACAGTTCGCAATATTCTTACCAAATATCAGTATTTTCTTCACGTTCTTATTATATTCAGATGTCAGCAAAAATGGTCACAGCTGCTTCAGTCATCCCATCATCCACAATCACATATAACTTCTTCTTAAACATATTCAAAAATCCCAACTGACCCATTGTAATGACTGCTTTTAACATTAATTTAACTTGTTATACTTTGATTTTCCAGTTGGACAAACGGAGCCTCGTGAACGTGTCATCAATTTAACAAGCAATGTCACAGGTTATCTCTACCAATTGAACTATCCACAAGATGTAGAAAACGTTGTCGATTTTACACAGCATCTAGTAGCACCGTTCGGAGACAATATTCTACTCGAATTACATGGCGTTGAGTTCAGTGAAAATGGCTGTCCAGATAATAATATTCTTGAGGTAAGTCAACAGTAAACATTTGTTGGCAAGCTTATGTTTGGAATGATTTATGAAATATTCTCATAAATCATCAAATAACAAGACAGCATACGGAGATGTGCATGTCAATTGGAAATTAAAATTGCATTTATTCTGCACATATTGCATTGATGTAAATACGTTTAAGTACTTCGTATTTAAATGAGTTCATAAGTTACTTTTATTGCATATTTAAATACAATCACTTAAGCCATTTACTTAAATGAATGTGACTTACATCTCTCTAATACCTTTTAGATATACGATAACTATGCTGACAATAATGGCACCAAATGGCAGTTATGCAAATTTGCAAATCCTTTACCTTACACCAGCAATCCCATTGATGATAATTATTATGGTAGTACAGAACAAAATTCTTACGTTTACCATCAGCAGACATATAACAATAGATTGGAACTGAATAGACGAAGTCAGCAATATGCTGCACCACCTGTCTACATTACATCCTATCTGAACACATTGCATATACGCCAACACACCACTGCCAAATCTGATGCCAATTTAAATGCAACCGTACGAATTCAATGGGGTAAGTGCTCTTACTTTTGTTTCGAATCCAAATGATTGAATGACATAAAGTTGTACCTTCACTGTTTCTTTGCTTATGAGAAAATCATATCCTCACCGTAATTGTTATGAATTAATTATTACTTTCTGAAATGTTGCTATATAATCTTCTTCTCTGTACATTGTTGAGAATATAAAAACCTGAAATTGGAATTTAAATTTAATATACAAATTTGAAAACGCATACAATGATTAAATTTTTAATTCAATATTATACAGACATGACATGAACTTTCATCTTCACAAAGCTCATAAAGATGCTACTTTCATTTAGAATTTAAATTGATATAACATCCACACATGCCCAGTCTTAAAGAGTGTGGCCTAGCACTTTTCGATTGTTAATGATACTATTGTAGAATATTAATCTTTTAAACTTGGTTAATATTACCTGTTAAGTAATAAACAGTCGTACAACAAGGTTTTTTCTTAACAAGGTATTAAAACAACGAAATTCATATCAGTCGGTGACATACACTCCAAACATTCCGAATGAATACCATATATCACACTGAACCCTTACTAAGCATTTGATCGGTCATGTGTAACATTTTAACTCTAATGTTTGTTTGTCAGTCAAATTTATTACCTCATAGTTGTTCGCATCGGAACTAAAAACCCTGTTCTGCTATTTTTAGCCACCCCAAGCTTAGCCATTATATTCAGTGCCACAGATCTTACCACTTCCCACTTTTTAAGCATTTCAAATATTTTTCGTAGCCGATTTGTGACTATTGTTACTACTCCAAATGTTTTTCCAATATTCCTCTTCTCGGTTAAAAAAACTGGTATTTCAAGAAGATGTGTCTCGCTCCTATACTTCACTCAGCCACACACACACACATATAATGAGTAATTCTTGTCTGTCCTTATCTACCGAGACGGTAAAATTGATAGAAATTATTCTCTAACAGAAATGTTAAGTTTAACACTCTGCGTTACTTGAATTAAGCTCACCATGTTTCCGGTAAATTAACAACCCTATATTTGGGAGGAAAAGGAACGTCGATTTTTCTTTCTTCGATGTTTGTCATCCTTTTTACTACTCCTTTTTACTACTCCGTTTGGAACTTTTTTTTAATAATTTCCCCAAATAATTAATAAGTAATTGAAAAGGATATAATTTTTAAATATTAAATATTTATATTAATAGAATTTAATACATTATTAACTAACTAATAAATAGGTGTTCTTATTCCTGAACGCTATTACTTCTCTCAACGCTACTGGTGACTCTTAGAACTTGTATGAATTTCGCACGCCATAATGTCTTATTAGTTTAAACGCATCTTATGTCGCAGTGCGAAAAATACATTTATGCGTAAATTTGCATTTATTTGTGCACTTTACTTATCTTTCCAAGTGACATTGGTCATATGAACGTTATCACAGGGTCAACATCTTCTGACACTGTGCAAAAAACTTATTAAAGCATTATATTGCCCTTATACGGAGAATATATGTACCCTCCAGAATGACATTGGTGGTATGGACGTTACCACTCCGTGAACATCTTCTGAAACTATTCGAAAAAATCATTTAAGTAATATATTGTCATTATTCGGACAATATATGTCAACATCTTGTTGCCATTTGTTATTATTATATGACCAATATATTTTCCTTTTCAATATCATAAAGTTCATTACTTTCACGACGAGATTACTTCTAACCGACCATTATTTACGTGAAACCGTCTCAGCCGGTACCCTATACTCTATGCAATGAGGCCGCGGTTCAGTAGTTATTAAAGATGATTTTTACCACTAGAAGATAGAAGCTGATAATTGAGCCGAGTAGCTATTTCAAATATGTTGAGCACAATATATAATAATATTTATAATAATATTTATTAATAATATTTGTTAATTAGACACTATATGCTTAGTTATATACTATTAACATATTTTGTTAAAATTATTTTACCCTCTTTAGTACAGACTATAAATTAATTTACAAAATCCTAAAGGACACCGTCTTTTATTATCCACCTTTGAAACTTTTAAACAATTTAAAACATTTAAAATTTGTATCAAATTAAATTATTTAAATTTTATAAAATATTCATTAGCATATTCAACAAAAAACATACACTTTCTGTAAGCTCTCAGTAAAAGCATATTTATAATTTCCGTCATATCCTTCCGCATTTTTTGAAGAACGATGAGAACGATGGGGAAAAGCGTTAGTATGCCATTTTAAAAAGCTTCCTCTTTATTTCAATTAAAAACAACAATAACAATAACTACGACTACAACAACAACAAAAATAAATATCTCCATAGAAAGGATAACAAAATTTATAAATTTAAACGTTTCAGATAATAATTACAAAATGAAATTAACATCTGGGGATAAAGCGGTCGAGTCATGCCAACCGAATCCTTGTCAGTACAACGGAAAATGTGTGATTAACAATGGTACCAGTTACTGCCAGTGCCAAGGACACTATACCGGAAGGTAAGTTATTATGAATGGAATTTCTGTGTTACCCAGTGAGTACTCGCAATCAAATGAGGAATAAATTAATGCTAAATCTTTTTGAGCCGCAGCAGCATAGTTGATGTTATGATATTGAGCTTAAATAGGATTACTTAAATTGCATTCTGCAATTCAATTGTTGAGTTTCGTTAGACTTAATACATCTTGAAAATTAATTTATTTTAATTTTGACAAAAATATTTTTAAATAATTCTTATTACAAAATATATTTATATTTATATACAATTTATTCTAGATTTTGTGGACTTAATCTATGTGAACTAGAACCATGTGTCTTTGGCAAATGCGAATTAACTGCTACAAATTTCAAGGTAAATAAACATTATTCATTAAATAAAAATAAATTTTTGTATATATTGGATTTGTTAATAAAAATAAAAATACTTCATTTATTTTTCTTTTTTATATACAAAAAAAAATTAGTGCCAATGTCAGCCAGGTTATATGGGTACAACATGTGAGCAGAAACAGAGGCCTTGCGCTGATAATCCTTGCGAAGGACGTGGCATTTGTTTTGAAAAAAATGGTGGATATTTTTGTCGGTAAGTTTACATTTTGAATTAATGAAGGAAAAAAATTTATTTTATATGTACAATACTAATAAATGTTAACACTAATCGGAAAACATAATTTTTGATTTTTATTATATCATTGCATACATAAAAGTTGCCATGCTTGGTGGGAAGGACATAAGTGCGAACGTCGCATGATGCATATACCATATAAACCACTTTCGGAGCGTATGTTACAGGAACCATTTTGGTTAGGTCTCATTACAGTTTTTGTAGTTTTGGCTGTTATTGGCTTAGTTTGGTGCGCCAAACGTCATTTTCCGGAGAAAATAGAAAAGCTGTTAGCCGAAGAAGCTGATCGCAATAGACGTAAGTATTTTTATTTATTTATAATTTTATTTATTTATGACTCTTTTGTATTTTATTTATTTACTATAAAGGAATTTAAAAAGTTTTTAATTTATATAAAAAATATTTTTTAGTTTATAATAAATAAATAAAATGAACCTTGGAAGTTTACAGAATCGCTAGCGTAACTATATTTCCAAACGGAACTACATTTCTTTAAAAACTTTAAATTAAATACAATAACTTATCGCTATTGTAATTTTATTAGTTAATATGTCAACTAATTAAAGAATAGAATTATGATAAAATGTCATCCCTGAAAATAAAAAGAAAACTATTATTAAGGAAGCTTGCTGCTTAATTTTAGGATATATGTTAATAATAAACTTGAAGGCTTTTTAAAAATAATTTTTTAATATAATTAAAAAATCAATATGATCTTTTTATACTTTTACTATATACTACAATGTATCTATATATCATATGTATCCACTTTTATAACATTTAACTGATCTAAGGATTTACTATCTACCATGCTTTCAGAGTGGTAAGCTTCACAATCCTCTATCGGTAAGCAACTTACTCTCAATTTAGTATACGTAGAATGAGAGTGGTCCATGAAGCAATGGATATCAGCAAATCTCGCTTTCTTTCAGTGATATACGTAAAAACATCGACGTTTTTGCGACTCGTTAAAAACTGTGACAATAATTATCAAACCTAATACATATGATTTATCGATTATAGCTCATAATTATAACTTTACTTCCAAGAATTATAGATTATTTTCATATATATACAAAAAAAAACGCCCTTACTGCAACGAGGTAAAACTCCTAATAGCCATAGATTATTTTCATATATTTATATACAAATATATGTGACTATAATTAACAATACATTAATTATAATACATATGATTGATCAATTCCAGCTTACAATAGCAATTTCACTCCCAATAGTTATAGATTATCTAAGAATAAATTATTAGTTATTACAGAAATCTTCTTATAGAGCTTTCCACAGAAATGATCCCAATGGGGTTATATTAACTATAATACTAAAGGGGTTATCATTCGAATTTCATTTGTTTTATAGTTCTATAAATGCTTTATACCACCCTGACTGCTAAAATTTAATTTGCAAACCTCACCGATTTCATGCTACTTGCTACAATGTTGCATCCATCGCTTTTAGTGTATTCTTGTCTGGCGTTGTCACTACGTTACTTTTAATGCTATATGCATATAGTTACCACATATTTATATGCATATTAAATAAAGTAAATATTTTTATCACATCAAGATTTTTTGAGAACTAATTAGAATTGCTGTATTATCAGTCCATAAATTATGTTTATCAATAAATTGTAATAAATTTAACTAAAAAATTATTTAAACTAATTAAAAAAAAATGTTTCATAAATGTTTCGTATAGTTAATTTATATAATTTCTGCAAAAATAATTTTATTTTATCTTGCATTATTCAATTAATTTTTTGTCTCTTCTTGTCTCAATATTTTTTACTTTCTCTTTTGTATTTTGTACACCTTTTTTTAATATAAAATTTTTTTATCTTATAATATTCTGCCACAATTGTAATATAACAAAAATATTTTATTAAATTCCGATAAACTTTTTTCAACTTTGTATGTAAATTTCTTCTTGTTCTTTGTCTTTTTTCTATTTTGATATATTTATATAGCACCTGGTTCAATACATGGACATCATCATCATACATCATTGCGCGAGCAATTGCAATTTACAACTGCCATACCTCAGACAACCGTCAGTAATGCACCGGGGGCACCACGTTCCATATTCAACAGATTGGGTATAAGAAAACCATCTCTTTTGAGCCTCAGCAGCCCCAATCCAATTCCTGGAGGTGGTGGGGCAGCAGCGCGTACATTTTCATTAGACGATTTATTACGACCACCTCCTCGACGTAAGATAGGCTAAATTGTTTCATTTCAAAACCAAAACAAAATTATCAAAAAAAAAGCAATTTTAAAACCAAATATAAAATTTAAATGCAAATGCAAATCACTTCAAGTTCTACTATCTATATCTATCTGTCTTTCTTTTTTTTTAATTGTCTTCTGTCTCTCTTTGTAATTGGATGATAAGTCTTACTTTCAGTTTTGAAACATCCACTAAAAAAGAAACTTACCCCATACCCTCACCAATCATTTTTAAATAATTTCTTATTGTACACAAAAGTAAATGTTTAATAATTGTACAAAAACAAATATTTTTAATTTAATTTTTTTTTTGTTTTCACGTATTGTAAAATAAATATATATTGCAATCTATAAAGCTACATTAATATACATATATACCAATTTAAATATACTATCTTTAAAATTAAACATTAAATTAATCTCCCCAATCAATTGATTCATAATTTTTTATTATGTAGAAAATGGCTTTAAATCCACTCTGTAGTACTAAACTCCAAAAATACTTATCATATTCTCAATATCTATATTTAAATAAAATTAAATTAATACATAATAATAATAAAACAAAATTCAAGAATGCACTTCTATTACACAAACTCATCGATCAGTTTCATTGAGACATGAATACTCCAAACTTTTAACAGCAAAGCACCAAATCCGCTTTAATCCTTTAAAAAATTAGACGCTTAAAGTCCTAGTAAAACTAAATTGCACCTCCTCTCCAATGCTGTTGCTTAATCACCGCTTAATTACTCTCGTATAATGCGTACTGACCGTTTTTAACTCGCAGGATAAGCAACTTATAAACAGACTCCTAATAGAAATACTCCGTTCGATGCGTTCGATAATCTATAGTAGGAAGATATTAGTTGCTCATATCCAAGACTATAACACTGTTAGATCGAGGACTATAAAACATTTTTTTTTGATAATTCAAATATAAGTAAAACAGGAACTTACGGTTAGTACATGCACTACACAGTAAGTCAAAAAATCGTTTTAATAACCAGCGTTCAGAAAGCTAAAACACAATAACAAAAAAAACTGTGAAAAACGATCAATTAAATCTATAATACTAGTTTTTCAAAAAATTCACTACGTATTCATATGTTTTTTAAGGTTTAGTTATTTATATAAAGAACAAAGTTCAATCTATGACATATTATCCAATTTATTCGATAACCTCTTGACAAGTTTTAGTAAAGTGCACAATTATTTGTTTATAGAAGGGTCTGTCTTAATGACCCTTGAAATTTGAAATAAGTACTGATATTTAATCACATCTGAGTTCAATTGTTTACCACATACGGAATTTTGAAACAAGTATAAATCTTATGATCAAATTTCACACTTGTTTATGGTCTCATATACAACAACTTCTACGATTAATACGTTTTAAATAGTACTGGGTAAGCTCCGAAAAGAAATCCTAACAGACTGACACTTATCCGTTCTCTATTAAATATTTGCTTTCAATATCATTTGACACCACGTTTCTTTAATCTTTTGTGGATTTGACTGGATTGATGCATTTATTTTGTTGTCCACTCAGGGATGTCAACCGCACATCCCTGAGTGAACTGCTTCGTATTGTCTCCGAAAACTTTACTAAATTTTGTTTACAGAAATAAGGCACTATGGATAACTGTGTACTTTTGCTTTTCCATCTTAAACTAGTTGAAAAATCTACAAAGCAGATTTCTGGTTTTTCTTTTTTGAATGTTTTTAAGAAAGTCAGCTGCTAAATCATATCAAAATGACTCGGATGAAAATAACTCTAATATATCCAAAGTAATGTAGCGCTAACAGGAATAAGGATATTCTATTAAAAATCTCAATTTTTTTTAGCAGACTTTGTATATAAGTTTGAACTTTATATTTTTAAATTACTTTTTTTAAATTAATGACAAATAAGAAGACTTACTAATGCACAAATATTAATTGTAATTGTCTTATATATCTCGAAAATTCGTTGCTTCTGCTTCTATGTGCCCTTTTCAACTCTACTATAGAATAGACAATTATTATTAATGTACATATGGTAAATAAGAACTACAATGTTCATAGTAAATTCAAGGAAATCTGAAAATATATATAAGCTGTGTAACCCCAAGTTCCATTAATTTTTGTTCCAATTTATATAGCTGCATTTACACTATTTTATCTCAAATATTGAGAAATCATTATAATAGAATCTATATTTTTGATGTTTTCCCATAGAATGAAACCGTTTGTGGTAGCTGTTCTTCGTACTCTAATAATAAAAGTCCTGGTCTCATAAATTCACCAGATATTCATCGATTGTATATATCGCATAAGACAGTTTAACAAATCATCAAACTATTTTAATTTTTGAGGGACAAAAAAAAAAAACTAAAGCCAACATATATATATATAATATCGAAAAACTAAATTTACATATCTTTCAGGGACCTTTAAAGAGTAAAACTATCTTGTAAATATATAATATTATCTGTCAACCCACGAAAAGATAAGATAAACTTCACTTTTTTTCATTATTTTTATTGAAAATATTTGTGGCTGCTGGTGGACAACTCTTTACTATATAAAATATTTATTTGAGTGTTAACTAAATGTGTTTGACGTTTTTTCTTGTTTATTTAAAATGTTTTTTTTTTTAATTTAGCATATCAAGTACAACAAAAAAATATGTAGTTAACCTTTCGTTGCAAATCCACTAATTTGCTAATTACAAGTAAATGTAGAATACTAATTTTAAGCAGTTTCAATTGTAGTTACATCTTAATTTTAATATTACTAACCATTAGTTATTAAAACATGCATATATAAACTAAATTCACATAAGCTTGAGTAGTAAAAAATTATATTTAATTGCATATTTCCACTTCACTTTTCTTTATTGCACTTCTATGTTAATTTCTGTGCCTTAGTTATTAGCTTTTAATATAACTTTTTAAAAATTATCAAAAAATATTAATTTCTCTTTTTTTGCTTTTCATAAAATATAGGTTCTCCATCACCACGTAAAAAGCGGAATAATTCCACGCCTGTCAAGAAGAATGCCACCGAAAAAAAGCAAATATTACAACAATTAGTTTCGCCGGCCGTCGCTCAAGCCAAACCCAAAGTGAGCCTGGATGAACTGATATCGATGTCCGAGAATCGATTGCGTGTGAATAACATTGATTCTGAGAGCGATCTTAAGGAAACAACTTTCTCAGAGAATTCTGGTTCCTTAGCCTCAGGGTCCATGCCGCGCAATATAACCGATCCGAAGTTGGAGAAGAAGGTCACTTTTGCACGTCTCTTAAATAAAGTTTCTGCAGAGATGAGCTCTGGTTCAGAGATCGATATTGGTCAAATGGGGGTAAGTTAATTGTTAAATTTAATCCACAATATTTGTGTATATTAAGCTGACTTGTGATTCTCAGGCAAAAAGAACAAAATTTTTATGTGCTTACAAGGACTTGGAGGAGAGGGAAGCTTTTCTTTAACTAAACAATTCTGAACTTTTTGCATTTGAACATTTTAGGTATTCGAAAATAACAAAGAAAACCATCAAAAATAGTTGAAATTATTAGTACAAAAAAAAAATTATATTGCAGTGCACTTGTTCACATTGTAGTTAAACATACTTCACACTCTTACGTACATACAACAATTTTCAATCAAACTGAAAGCACACATCTCGAGTGTTGTCTGAGAATCATTCGTTTTCAGTCCCAAATCAACCTTATGTGCTGTTTATATATTGCTTACAAATTAATTAATATTTTATAATTAAGAAATATATTTATTAAAACATTAATTATATATAATTATTCATGCTACTTACTCTAACTCACTATACACATTTATATTTATTTCTCATGCATTACTTTGCTGGCAACAAACATTTTTTCACATAAACATAAAATAGAGCACAAGGAACTCTAGCGCTCTTAGTTTGCCAACTGATATACAATTTCGCGCCAGCTCCATGCCCCCATCACCGTGCACAAATGATATACGCTCACCGCATAGCACCTCATCGAATCAGGGCAGCGATTCATTGTCCAGTTCAGATCTGGCACTAACCGATTTTGGCCTTCGCTCAATACAAAACAGTGGCAGTGAAATCGGTGGCACAAGCCATCAGCTCAATAGCTTAGCAGCCGGTATACCGGCACGTTGTCGTATTGGTTCGCCAGCACGTCCAAAAGTATCCAGTGCCGATTCAATATTAGCAATGTTTCGTAATTTTGGTTCGATATCAACGACTGCTTCAATTACAGCTAACAATATTATGCCTTCAACCACATCGATATTTATATCGCCATCGACAACTCCTACTGTTTCCAGTCCACAAGACGATGCACCTGGTGATGATGAATCATCAACATCATCTATGCATACACCTGTCAGTTTCTCTAGCGGTCCACCGGACTCACCTGTATTTTATCGCCAAACGACTATTGAAGTGCCAGTGCTTGATGTTTTGAATGCGCACAAAACATCATCGCCATCGTCGTCTACGTCGTCTAGTTCAACGAATTTATTACACCCACCGACGATTCTACTTGAAATACCAAGCAATGGCATAAATAATAAATGCTTATCACCAATACGAGAAATGCCCACACCGATTCCATCACCAGCGCTTACGCCTATCATGCCTAGGCCACAACGTTCAAACAGTCCAATATTTCAAGAGGATCCGTTATCTAGTGGAGATTTTAGTGATGATGAAATCAAAAGTGAACGCAGTGAACGTAGTGACGCACAACTATCAGTAAGTAAAAAATATCAATCATTCAATACTTCATATCTTTTCGTTATCTCACTCAAACACATAGAAAGCCTTTAGACACTGCTATCAATTATATATAGTTTTAGTCCACTTTTTCAAAAATTCCAAATTTATATCTACAAAATTGTACAGCAAAACACTTTTTAAATAATCAAGATAATTTTAAATATTTATAAAAAAAAATGTAGATATCATTTATTTAACTCCTCTTCTCTGCCCTCGTACGAACACTAAACAAAAAGAACAATTACTTTTGGATTTAGAGAAGTTCCAAAACGTTCATAAAAATTATTTAGTTTTTAATAAAAAGAAGTATTTCATATCACAAACTATAGTAACTATATCTAAAGTTTATTTGATCAGTTAGAACACAACTAAAAATTTCTGAGTTCTAAACCTTAAGTATCACTGAGAACATCGTAGTTCTTTTGTGCGAACGACCTACCCTTTAGTACTAAGAACTTACCCTCACAAAACAAAAGACGTTCAGATCTTCGAATGTTGGTCAGAATATCTCTCTATAAGAAGTTTCTAATATTTGATAAGTTCCCAGCCCAATGCTCTGCTCCTAACATGAACCGCAGTCAGACACTCACAAAGAGTTTAATTAGAAGTTTCATCTTCTAGTAGATAATGACGGCACTCTGTGACTACAAAAATGCCTATCTTGTGAAAATACGGATAAGATTACCCGACTGGATATCTGCAAACAACTTTATCTCTGTCCTACTGAACAGGAATGCCTCTTTCGAATTTAAAAGTATTTTTTGTATATCAGTTTATTTATTTAAATACGGTTTCGATAAAAATATGTTACGAGGGCGGTTTAATAAGTCAGTGACTTTTTAAATAAAACAAATTTTTTTCGGCAAATAAACATTTTATTTTTCTACATAATCACCTTTTAGCTTGATACATTTAGTCCATTTAGTCCATAATAGGTTTTCTCAAAGCTCTCAAAATACGCGTTTGT